AAAAAAAAAAAGAAGAAGAAAAGAAAACATTATTATTATTATATATTATTATATTTATTTATTTATTTATTTATTATTTATTTTATTTTATTATAACTCAGAATTTCTCACTGATGTCATTTCCAGTAAAAAAAAAAAGAAAAAAAAAGAAAAGAAAACACACATCCTCCTTGGCTGATAGATGATTCGTCGGTATGGCGTGTAAGAGCCCCAGAATGCTGCAGAGCAGTGTGTCCGCTGTGCTGTTGGGGGTCCGATGGCCGGTCCCGGATCTGTTTTGTGGCCATATGGCTCTCAGCCATCAGCGGGAAGTTACGCACCGGCTCCCGTTTTTATCGGCTGCGTCAACTTAGAGGAAAACTTCCGAACTTTAATCAGTGAGAGTGCACGGTGCTTTTGTCTTTTGCCTCCGCCTTTTCTTCTCAGCTCTGTTTTTATGTTGCATTCGGAGTCGTGTTAGAAACTCAGAGGCTGAATATGCAACGTTTGGACTAAACAGCAGAAAACATTTATTACATATTAATATAAAGACATCAACATTATGTACCACAAGGCATGACTTTGTGTGTGTGTGTGGTCACATGCTTTTGTAATATAAGACAAATGCAGCATCCATTGGACAACTTTTAAGTTTTTTTTTAGGCTTTCTTTTCCAATGGGTGGGTAATGGGGGGGGGGGGTGCTGAATATGAGAGAACATTCAAAGCAGTCCTCTGTTTTTCCTCAGCGAGGCAGCTTTTCAAGATTAATGACGTAATGATATAATTGGCTTTATATAACTTGAACAAATTAGACCTGACTCTTCTTTTTTGTGCTGCCATCTTGTGTGTGGACAGAATAGCTACTCTTTATGTTTTTAACACTAGTATGAAGACAGAGTATCATATGACCATTAACCTTATCCTGAACCATAAATCAAGACTTTGAAGGACACACAATGTTTGCCGGAGGTTGGAATAATTTTTTCTATGATGCCCTGATGACAAAATATTTAAACCCAGAGGCAGCAATGCAAAACATTGCAAACTTCGCTGCAAATGAGAGAATTTTAACAACTAATAAATCCTGTTTTTAGTCTTGTAACACTCAGTTTAACTCAGTTCTACCTCTGCATGACAGTCCTTTTTCCTGTTTCTGATACTTTCCAGCACAAATTCTGCTATATGCACATATTGTTTGCACAAAAGTAAAGAGTTCTGCTATCTGTTCTGTCACCCAGCTATCACACCATCAATCCCACTGAGAACCACTGACAGATGCATTCATAAAGAGGTTCAAATTTACAGATTACATCACTGTTATTCGTCCCAGTTTGATATCATGGTCAGGAAGTTGAGGTTTATAGCTGAGAAGAAACTCACTGTACATGTTGACACCGTGTATGTTTTTAAATGATAAGCAAAGCGCCTATCGGTTATTTTTTTACTGAACTTAAAGTGCGCCTGTTGTCCTTCAGCGGCTGCCGAACGGCCCCTCCTCCATCTTGGACGACGGCGACGTGGACCGGCAGAGGGAGGGCGAGATCGAGCGCCAGCGGTCAGAGCTGGGCCAGCTGAAGGAGAGGCTGGCCCTCATGTGCCGACAGGTGCCCCCCCCACTCACCAGCCACAGCCACACGAAGGCCCCGGGCTCAGCACCAGCCCCGGGCCTCCTGTACCCACGCTCTCCCTCTCTGCCAGGTGGGGGAGATAGAGGAGCAGCTGACGTCCGCCAGGAGGGAGCTGACCCGGTCCGAGGAGGCCAACCAGAAACTGCAGCGGGATCTCAAAGAGGTCAGACTCTGAGCGTGCGTCTAACAGCTCGGGAACTGGCTTTTTTTATTCCTCATAAGCAGAATTATGAAAGCGTTTTGCCATGGAAACTAAGCGTTCGCTCGCCTGGTGGCGGCTGCACCCGGTCGCCATGGCAACCGGGTCTCTCTCTCCTCCGAGTCGGACCCGGTTTGTCTGACAGAGCGGGGGGTTTGAGTCAGGTGTGGAAAACCTGCAGGGCAGTGTTCCCTGAAGACCGGGGTGGGGAAACACTAAATTTCACTTCCTCTACCCTTCTGAAATCTGTCAACACCAACTGTCGACAAGCCACTATCATCCTTCAGCTAAAGGCGACAGTTGAGGCCCAGTGAACTCCCCCTGAGTACAAGCTTTTTGTAAACTTAGCGTTTGCCCTTTTCCCGCTCTAAGGCGCGTCTCCTTTTGCCTCCTCATTCTCTCAGGCCCTCTGCCAGAGGGAGGACATGGAGGAGAGGATCACCACGCTGGAGCGCAGGTTCGCCGTGTTTTTTTATCTCTCAGATTGTCCACTTTTTAACTCATTGACTGCCAGCCATTTTCAGAACAGAGAGTCCCATACTGCCAGAGTTTTTTTAGCATTTTGACTGATTTTTCAAAAGCCGCAGAATAGTTTGTGCTACGACTATGTAAACACCGAACGCACCAAAAGAAAGAGTAGACTCTCTTCTTTCATCAGGAAAAAAAATTTGTTTCTACCTTATTCCATTTTTCACATAGCGAAGCATTACGTTTTTCTTATTTGCCTACAATCTATGCTCACATCCCATCAAAAGTGGCACTGCTACCTAGAGGGTCAATTTGTTAGTACATACTCTGTCTAGAAGCCTGATATTTACGGACAAGCTTTAGCAGATCGTCCCCCAAGCCACTTTGGCAGTCAACGGTTGTATTTGAATTGACGTCTATAGACGTCTTTGGCAGCCAATGAGTTAAAAGGCCCTCCTCCTAGCGCGGCGTGGCTCGGTTTGCAGGTATCTGAGTGCCCAGAGGGAGGCGACGTCTCTCCACGACATTAAGGACAAACTGGAGAACGACCTGGCCAGCAAGGAGTCTCTGCATCGACAGGTGGGGAAGCGCTCTGTCTTGGATCGTGAGTCCTGCTGTGGTCAGTCCCGGCTCCGGGTTTGAGCTCCACCTCCCTGTTGTTTCCCCCCCCCCCC